GCTCACCATGCTGGTGGCTGGGAAATGGCAGAAGTCCGAAGTCCTAGTGGAGCAAAGCGTAGTCCACATCCCTTTGTTCGTTCTGGTCTCATTCCCTCTGCTTAGATACCCACCAGAGCTTGATCATGGAGACCTATTGACTTTATCACACCTAAAGGCCCCACCCTCGGACACCATGAAGGAATTACATTTTGCTTAACACCTTCACTACACAACCAAGGCCCAACGCCTGGACTTTCGGGGTTATCTAATCGCTACCCATCCGATTCCAAAACATGAGCTTCTGGGGGACAGACCACTATCCAGACGGTAACAGTGGGTCAGCAGGAGCTTTGGGTTCAGCCAGAACTGAGTTGGTATCCTGGGTGCATTTTTTTACTGAGGGTCATACGTGAGGCTCTCGGCTAGGTACGGTGGATGCAACAGTGGACAAGTCAGGTCCCGTCCCTCCTGTGGCCAGCATTACAGGGGTAGGAGGTGGGGCATAGACCCTGACAGATGCAATCACAAGGATAATTACAGGTTGTGCATACAGGTCTGGAGGGGAGGCGCCCAGTGCCACAGGGACCCAAAACAGGAAACTGATCACACACAGGGAGCCCAGGACATGATGTTTGAGAAGAAGCATGGAAGACCGGTAGGCCTTTGAGGTGAACGTTTGGGATTGAGCTGGGGGAAGACCATTCCTGGCAGTAGAACCCACATATGCAAAGGCTTTGTGGCTGGAGGAAGCTTAAGAATTATTTATTAGGGTCAATAGGTGGTGTGGTGGTTAAGGCGCTGGTCAAATAATAAATAATAATAGGGACCAGCAGTTAGTGTAATGGCTATGTCGCTGGACTCCCATGTAGTCGACCATGTTATGAGTCCAGGACCCCTTGGCTTAAACTCACGCTGGGTACGTGTGCATACATGCCCAAGATCCTGAGAGGAGAATGGAGTAGAAGGGATTATGGCATGGCCATCCCCCTGGGGTGGGGGTGTGATTTCTCACTTTCTGTCTCTCTGTCCCTCTCTGTCTTTCTGGTGAGTGCATGTGCCCTCCAAAAAAAGAAAAAAAAATAACAAAATGATGTAAATAAAATAACTTCTAAAAAAGAGAGAAAAGAGAATTATTTATTTATTTATTTATGTATTATGATTTAATTTCCTATCGGGCACGTGTGCTCACCAGATGTTGACAGAGAGAGGGAAAGTGAAAAAGCAAGCCACCAGATCTGGGATTCGAACCGCAATTGGCAAATGTGGGAGTCCAATGCCTGCACTACCAGACCACATGTGAATTTGAAGGAATTAAAGTGGCTGGGGCTGGAGCAGAGAGACAAGCATGGTGCTGGATGCAGAGGAGATAGAGCATGTGGTCGTACCCTAAAAGCCCAGAGAAAGAAATGGGAGGTCCTGGGGAATGGAGAGCGGAGGGAGAGGAGCTGAAAGGATGGCTCGTTAATTTGCACGATCTTAGACTGACTCTGTCATTCCCTTCACGAGTGTCTGGGTTTCAGTGTATTCGTCATGATATGAACATTACTCACCTGGCAGGAGAAGCTGTGTGCAAACACCCACCATGGCAGCCTGGGGCACTCCAGCTCAGGCCATCTTATTTTTCTCTCTCCCCCCAGTGCCACCAAGCAAGGGCAAACTGCAGGCAGGGTGGCCTCGGCTTGATTTCCTCCAGTTAAATCCAACCAGCTCCATCCTGGCTCCTTCCTGACTTGCTTTGCCCTGCTAGCCACCTCTTAATTTTGTTTTGGTTCCCAGAGAGAGCAGGGACTGGCTTCCTGTTGCCATGACGACTGCCATTAAAGGAGCCAGCCACGTGATGTGGGTTGATAACGGAAGCGAAGTGACTAACTGCCTTGTTTTCCTGCCTGCGGGCTGGGCCTGGGAAGCCTGTTAATTGGAGGGGAGAAGGCAGGGCTCGTGGGCAGCAGATGAGAGACCCGGGGAAGAAGGCAGGGGAATGAGGCGGGTCCTGGCGGGGAAGCACATTTAGCCCTGCAAACGGGAGCTGGTGGCACGGCTGAACTATGGAGCTAGCGTCATAGCTGCCCAGAGGGGCATGTTGGAAGAACTGAATCTCTAGCCCTGAATTGGGGGCAAATAGATGGGCTGGAAGGAGGGACATACTCAGGTTAGAGGAAAATGAGGTGACAGCTGTCACTATAGGACTCAGCCCAGTAGTTCTTAACGAAGGAGACGGTACAGTTTTGACCAACCCCCAAGGTTGCACACAGGTTGCTAGATGAAATGTAACTGCCTCATTGAATTTGAACCTCAGATACACAGTGAATGACCTAGCCTTGTGGCTTAATGGTTAAGGTAGCCGGATCCCACATGGCCAGCCCTGCTCGGGGTTTGAAGCCTGGCCCCTGAAGCTTGAGAAACACAATGGGCACATGTGTCTGGCTGCCCCAAATGCCAAAGAAACGGAGAACTGGGGAAGGGATTGCGACATGGCCGTGCCTCACTGGG